TTATTCTGAGTAAATGAATAAAAGATAATTTCCCTTTATGTTGTGCTGTGCAGACACAGCAGGTAATATAGCAAAACATTTAAGCATATTCCTTAAACTGCTCAAAACAGTGAAAAGAATTATTTTTCAAAATTCTTCTGAGCAGTGAGTGTGAACTTCAACACCATGGCCGAGCAGACAGGGTGTTGGGGCCACTGGAGGACAGGGGTGTCTTTTCTTTCCAACCAACAAGCCAGCCCTCTTGTCTCGTCTGAACAGACCCCCTGGGTGGGTGTGGATCTGAACCAGAGACCAAGGACGCGTCTCTTACTCTCGTCTCCTCTCTTTATGCTGTGAGAAATCTATTCTCCTCCATTATCTAGGCTTACTGGACATAACAGAAGGTTTGAATCCATGAAAATGAAAAACTTTCCCCGTTTCAACTCCATTTCCTGCTTTTCTAGGTAAAACAAACTTTCCCTGAGGAAATGATGTAAATGTGCTCAAATATTCTTAAAAGACCCCACATAGCACAAAATATTTATGAACGTGACCATGTTTCTTTTCATTTACATGTAAAAAGAAATATGTATGTGGTAGTGGGGAAAAAATACCTCTAAGAGGAAATGTTTTCCAATCCCTGTTTTATTGTGATCTCCCTCCCAATGCTTTGATTTTCTTGTCTGTAAAATGGAGTTGGTAAAAAATATGTCTTACCTATCTGATAGAATTATTGTGAAGGATCAAATTAAATAATGCACATAAATTATGGTATTGAAATACCATAAAAGGTAGTGGAAATGTATACTCTCATTGTTGCTACAAGACCCCCATGTCGTATTTCCTCCACAACCTCAGGCCCTGCGCCTCTTTGTGCCTAGAGGGCCATTCATTTTCCTTTAGCGCGACATGAGTGATCTCCTGTTATGTCACTTGAAAAGATGGTGAAGGCTACTGATTTTGGAGTCGACAGAAATGGTCCTGTTCCCACAACCCTTCTGGGAAAGTCCACAGCTCCTCTCATAGCCTTTTCAAGACAGATATATGAAGGGGTATGAGTCAAGTCCCTTCGAAAACTGCAATTTCATTGCCACTGTGGGTTCAAACTTTAATGGCTTTGGTGTCTGTTTGTAAAATGTCATTTCTGTTGGTTCCATCCTAGTAGTTCAAACAACAAAAAACCACACATCACGTCCTTTAATAAAATATAAAAATCTACATTCTTGGTATAATATATGTGTACTCAAGCCATACTAATTTCTTCTACAATTACTTTAAATTTTTAGCATTTTCATTTGGCTCTCATACTATATAATTAATGGCGTTTACATGAAAAGTTTCTTTAACTAATATAAATGGTATAAGTGGATTACTGAGCAAGGCTTAATACAAATAAACATTTTTCTACTTTTAAAATTTTCTTAACTCTCCTCCGGATAATGTCTGGCACAATAGTGGAGTTTCTTAAATGTCAAGGGGGATACAGAAATCAGGCTTCTGAAGTCTGTTCTCCCCTGGTTAGACAGGCTTATAATTCTGTTTCCTGTAATGGTTGGCCTGGGGTAGTCAACAGTGACCTTGCTCACCCAGCACATCCACACTCAGAAACCTGTCTTTTCTTTGGGAGGTTGCCACTGTTTTTCTCCATGACCTTCAACATAACACAATATCTGGCCCTTATAGATCATTTCCTGCAGAGTTTGCAGGACTGGAGACGAGATAGTCATATGATAAATCTCACTGTAAGGACCAGGAATAAAACCTACCAGGTTTCTAAATACCTCCATCATCATGATTACATTACCCAATTGTGGCAATTATGGGACTGTCCCTCCCAGTCAAACTTCCGAATACATATATTTTGAGCGGCAGTGTGGAGCCAGGTTACTGTAAAATACAGTTGGCATGGCACTCACTATCTGTCAGGATATACATTATTTTTATGAGGTATTCTCAAGGGAAAGCATTAACATTTTTTTAAAAAGCCATTTCTTCACTGCTGTTCTCCCAGAAGCAAAGTCAGGGGGTAGGAGTGAAGACGCCTCCTTTCACATCACACATCCAGCCCTGAGGAGGAGGGGGCAGCCTGGCTCCAGGTCATCTCTGGAAGAACATGCAGTGTGTCCTCTAAAGTAGTGGTCCCCAGCCTTTTTGGCACCGGGGCCCATGGAAGACAATTTTCCCATGGACCAGGGTCAGGGTGGGTGGGTGGGTATGGTTTTGGGATGATTCAAGAGCATTACATTCAAGCTCACCTCCTGCTTCCTGGCCCAGTTCCTAACAGGCCTGGACTGGTACCAGTCCACAGTCTAGAGCAGAGGTTGCAGACCCCCTGCTCTAAAGTACCCTTGGAGTTATCTCAGGAGCTGCAGACCAGACTAAATATAAGCAGGCTTTCTCTAGAACAGTCTTCAGTCTCAGAATTGACCATAGAGCTGGCCAAGCCTTGAGATCTAAAAGAAAAATTCAACCCAGGTGAGTTTTGAACATACATTCCAAAACGCAGAAAGCCCTGTGCCAGTCCTGTCCAGATTTCCGAGGTTGGCTTGGGATTGGAGTTCGAACCTAAAGGCCTGGTCAAATGCCTATGACGAGCATGTTTGGAGTGAGCAAAACTGTGTAAGAACCATCACTCTAGTAAGACTTTCACATTACTTGAAATGTTAAAATGTGCACACATCCTACATTTATTAATTTTGCTAATAAAGAATGTTATAATTTTGCTTTTGAAATTATTTGGTTAAAGTAACTAATTTAAAATATGCTATGACTTCTCAATACTCATGTCTGTTTAGGAAGTCTCACTCAATAAGCATTTCATCTAAAAACTCCTTTTCGAATGTACTGAAATTATTATGAACATTAAATCCAACAACTGATGAAGCTGATTCAGTATTATATTTGTGACCATTTAATAAATGTTCATTTATTTTGCTGGGCAGTTTTCTTTTTTTATTATAGACACAATTTTTCCTGATCGTACTCTAGACATTTTCCCCAAGCACAGCTTACATGCCCAGCATTGTGAGTCCATTTCTACAAGTTAAACAGCTGGTCCTCTGGGCTCCGGGCGCTCAGCCAAGCACTCCCCAAGTGACTGGACATTGACTACAGTGAGTTCTCACAGATTCCCAGCTGTTCCGTGGGACTTCAGCCCTCAACCAAAACAATTATGTGGACGCACTAAGTCTTGTGCCATCACCTGAACAACCTAAGAAATTCTTAGTAATGAAACTAAATTTCTAAACATTGGTGAATTTTTGGCTTCTTAGAGAAATTTACCCATAACCAATGCTGAAAACCTTCGCTACCAGCCTTTGGTGAAATCATTCTTCTCCTTCAGTGGATGAAATCAGTTTTCACAAATCCAATTTATTTTGTTTTTCAACAAGAAATGAGATTTGGAAGCTGATATGGAGTTGCATTTGTAGGAAGCTTTTCTATCACTATACAAAATGTGACTTTTGCATGCTCCACCAGAGGTGTTTATAACTAGACCCAAGATAACATCTTTAGTGACATTATATCAGCAGCTGTTAGGTGGAGTGCACTTAGTGGACTGACTTATTTTTACCCTTGAAAGATTAGGTCTTATCAGAGTGTATCAACTCAGAAATAATCACAGGTAGTCAGTTGACAGTCACAAAATCCCCTCTTTTGCTATCAGCAAATGCTGAAGTGATAAAGAATTTGAAAACTCTACTCTCTAGTTGTGTCCTCGAACAATGTCATATAAACAATGTGATTTGTTTAAAGGCTTTATTTCTGATCTTGGTTTGTCTCTTTTTAAAAACTCACTGAAAACATACTGAGTGTTAGTGGTAAGCTCATGGATACTGGCATCAGACAGCACCACATGGAACCTCAGGTCTAGAATCTTCTAGCCTTTGGAACCAGGACAAGTTATTAAGCCTCCATTTCTTCATCTGTATGGTACTGAGAATACTTAATAGGATTGTTCTCAGGATTTAACAAATTAATATGTGTAAAGCTGTTGGTGAGCAATCAATAAATGTTAACTCTGAGTATTACTCTTATTATTATTCATCATTTTCTCATTATTTACAGTACCAGCATCCAAGCCACCACACCCTACCCCTGGACTACTTAGCTGCCTCCTGCCTTCCCTGCTTGTACTAGGCTCTCACCACCTCCTCATCTTAAAGTTGAATGAATGATCCCCTCAGAAGAAAAGGTGATCAGTTCAACCCCCTTCCCAAATAGAAACAAAATCGGAGTAAAACAAAAATTCCTTCAGCTAATACCCTGAGCGAAAATCTGCACGGCCCTGTGAGGCCTGACTCTGGCCCACACTCTTCAGTCTGTTTCCACTTCTCTCGCACTTTCTCTGCTGCTGCCATACTTGTCAGTCTTCTGTGCACTGCCAAGGCCGAACTGTCTTCAGTACCAGTCCTTTCTAGGCCTGGAGAGCTCTGTCCCTGACCAACCAGGCTCTGTACAACATATTTACATTTTTCATAGTTCCATATTCTTTTCCTTTCAAAGCACCTAAGCTCCTTGAACATATAACCTATTTAAAGGATCATTTCCTAAGGTTTGACTTGCCTAAACAGTTTTAAACTTGCAGAGGGTGCAATTGCTAGTTTTGTTCTTAATCGTGTTCTTCATAACCTAGCTCAATCCGGACCTGGAGGAGGGCAGTAAACGTTGAGTGAATGAATGCAGGAAGGGGATGAAATAGAATGGACTGCACATTCTCAGCAAGTTGGCTCGCATACCTGACGCTTGTTATTAAACAATCCCCCCAAACACACCGGGTCACTTTTCCGTACCCTCCCCAGACTTTTTTTTTTTTTTTTAACAATTAGACTTTTGTGTTTGGGTCACTCTTTTCACGCACAACGACCCAGGCGCCGCCACCCTTCAGCGGGCCAGTAAGCTCAGATCTGACAGCCGTGGAAAACGGCTCCGGTCCCGGCGGCGCAGGCGGACCGGACGGAAGTTCGGGCCCCGGGCTGGCGCCCGGCCTTCTGGGGCGGAAGTGCGGGGCGCAGGGCGGAAGCGGCGACGGCGCGGCCAGCGGGAGGCTCAGGTGGGTGTCAGTGACCCCCGCACCGGCAGGTGGGCGCTCGCGGACCTTGCGCAGATCCCGCAGGCAGGCAAGGGAAGGGCACAAAGGAGCCCCCGGCTGTGCCGCACTGGGAGCAATTCGGATTGTCCTGAGAGGGACCTTAATTAAACCGGGAGCCATAAATCCGTGAACCACCCGGAGGGGGTGTGGGGGATTATAAATGTGTTTCTGTGTGTGTGTTCGAACGCGATGGCGCTCGGGACGTGAACAGAATAACTGGCGGAGAAAGGCACCTTTTAAAGAGAAAGCAGAAAACATTTTAACTTCATGCTGTTTACAGTGATTCACAGATGCTCCGTCATAGATTCAATTAAGTTCTATGAGGTGACAGTATAATCTAAATTGGCCGCCCGCTGAGATGACTCTTTTTTTAAACACATATTTTTGAGCAGCCATGTTGACCTTTAATTGGGGTTGAAAAGGTTGAAAGATGCAATAGGGAACAGTGTGAGCCCAGTGCTCTCTGGACCTTCTCTCTGATTTATTGGGCAAAAGCAGCCCTCTGGGTGCTGAACAATGAGAGGATAAATCAGAGACTGTACAGTTCTCAACAAATACTTAACCTTGTCAGTTCCCCCAGACAAATATCAGCTCAAGCAATTTTTTAGTAAGTCCAGAGGTAGAAGAGTGTCATCCACATTATTACTAACATGAATAGGCAAGTGTCTATTTCTAAGGCTGTCTTTAACAAGGAGATCTTGGCCTGGGTGATCTTTATTCTTGTTTTTTAATAGAAAGCTCTATATAGTATATTTTAGAGCACTTTAAAAAAATCCACAGCATGGCCAAGATTGGCCCCAAGATTCTCAGCTCCTCCAGGACAGGGAGAGTGTCTAGGATCTGTTAGACCCCAACCCTTTCTAGCACATTCACGAACACAAGCAGGGCTCCTGTAACTACGGGGCCACTGGGGCCATGTCTCAGTGCAGATGACACTGCACAAGTTGAGATGGTTATTAGAGGCCACATTCTTCTCATTTAGTAACTATCTGAGGAATAGCTGATGAAAATGCATATGAAACTCTCTACCAATATTTGGAGCTGTACCCATTGAAATTGAAAACACTTGGGGAAAAAAGGCATACCCTGGAAATAGTGAATGATTATAGTAATACTGGAGTAATCATGCTTCTGGGTGAAATGTTGGAGCCTAGTGACCTGGGTCCTGCTCTGCTGAGGAATTGCCTGAAATCAGAAAGGTCCTGTCATGAGAATTAAGATGGGCTGGGCTGGTAATTTAGGCAGGCCCTAGGTTTTCTTTCTTCATGCTGGCTGTGGTCAGTAGCCTCCTGCCAAGAAAAGATTTCATTATTTTTTGTCTCCTTCACCAGAGGAAAATGTGGCTCTGTGGTTTTATTTAGGTGGATTGATGGCAGAATAGAAATGAGGATTTTCCAGCTTGGGAATTTATTTGACTGTATTTCTCTTTTATTCCAGCCTGGCTCTATTATACTCTTTTAAGTACCCAGAGCTATGTGGAGCTATGCCTTCAAAATAAGTTATTTTTTACTATTAAAGTTTTTGTGCCATTAGAATAACTGAAGGCATAAGCCATAGCTGGCTTATGCCTTCAATTATTCTAATGCTAGGGCTCCAGGTTTCACGTGTTAGCAGGACCATGAGATGATCTGGTATAAGTAGTAAGGTTTTTTTTTTTAATGTTCCTTATTCTAAATCTAATCTTGCCATTGCTTTATTCAAGGAGTGTACATCAGAGGAAGTCAAAAGCCAGCTGGAATAGTTCCTGCATGCAGTTTTAATCTTGTTTGCAATTATTTTGAAGGGGAGAAACCATCTGGATCCAGAGATGTGTAGCTACACAGGTAGCAGGGTCTGGGCGAGCTTCCTTCATCCTTCCCCCACTCACAACACAGCATGTTCAAGGGACAAAATCATTTGAGGAAGAATATGCAAAATGAAAGGTTTGGGCTAAGTTTCAAAGAGGTATTATCCCATATCTTTAACTCCCCATCCAGTTATAGCCACAGGGAACTGGAAGCATTAAAAACATTACTTTCTCTCTTATTTCAGTGTTTATCCAAAATAAGGTTTCCAGAGATAAGAAGCAAAACTTTCAAAATACCTTCTGTTTTAAGATAGTACCCATCTCCTAGGATTTCAAAGCATTTCACTGGTAATTTCTAGTAACAGCCATTTTTGCTGCTATAGGCTTCATCACTGTGGTATTGTACTATGTGTTTGTAAATCTTCCTGCTCAAGGTGTGAGTTCCCTTAAGGGCAGGGAAAATACTTAATCACTTACATTTCTAGTGTCTGTCACATTGCACTCAGTATGTGCTATAGAAATGAAAAGACAAAACGGGAGGGAGGTGGGGAGTACTGGGGGGGGTGGGCTGGGATGGGAGTAAAAGACAGAAAACTGTACTTGAACAACAATTATATACATAAATTTTTTTAAAATGATAAGACAGCGTCTCCATAAGGATTGTGAAAACATCATTGGGAATGCAGCAAGATAGAAAAAAGAATATAAAACAATTATCTTTCAAGGGGTGAAAATAACTGCAGTGATAAATGCTACAGTTATTAATGCTTTAATAAACAGCCCAGAATGGGGAAAGGCACACTTGACAATCTGTAGATATGATCACCAAACTGCCTTCCAGGAAGATCTGGCCTGGTCAGTTGCAGGGCCTTGGTTGTTTTGAATGGAATATGCAAGCTGAAAGGCTTCACCAGCCCTGTCTCCACCCTCCCTCCAGCCTGCCATGCTGAACTCCTCACCCAAACACATGCTGAGCGAATACAGGGTCTGGCAGAAGTAACACCTGCTTGAGTGTGGTTGGTAGGGTACATGAATGTCTTGCATGAGATAGACAGCAATTTGAACATTTCACCTAGAATGTCATATGGTGTGCCTGAGTGTGATATTGTTATGTTACAGAATCACATACTTATGCTTTTGTAATGAAAAGGGGGTTTTATTTGTGCCAGATCTGTATTTGAATAGTATCCATTTGAAGGTATCCCAAATTATTAGCTTAGCTAGGGCACTAATATCTTGGTTTGGTCCTGTCTTAATGATGGAGAGCCTATGCATGGTCACTATTTTAAGACTAGATTGTCCAAATAACATTGGAGGAAAGCCACAATCATCTTTTCTACTTTGCTAACATTCCAAAGGAGTTCTGAGTCAACAGTTTTTTGTGTGGTAATTGGGCGGGCATGTGGTATCTGCTGCTTCCTTCTGTTGCAAATGGAATTGCAGCAGAAACCAGAATGTTTCTACTGGAAATAAATGAACTTCCTTTCATCGTTCCTGTACTTTTCATTTTAGTCATGAAATAATGGGGAAATGGCTGCTAGTTTAGTCAGGAGGAAGACTATGAGACTATTTGATTTTTTAACACTATATCTTTGTGGAATGAGGGAATTTTCAAAGAGAAAGGATACTGCTACTTAACAGAAAAGTCAGTAGATTGAGACAACTGAGGACATAAGACTGAAAAAAAAAAGATCTGAATTCAGCTTTGTTCTCTAAGTTCAAAAATGAAGTTAATCTGAATCTTTTTTGATTTAGAGATCAGAACCTCATTCTTATAGTAAACGAATTCTGCCATCTAAAGCTGAGATTTTCCTCATTCTCTCCATCCTTAAATTAGGCTTAAACAAATGTAGTGTCTGTTACTTGGTATACTCTGAGGATTAACATATAAAGCTTTCTGAGATTTCTTTTTAAAGAAAGGAGGTTGAACTTGGAGACCTCTCTTAATTCTCATTATGTATAAAATAGGCCATTCATTGTTCAGGGGGAAATATAGAGAAATGAACAAATACAGAACGGAAGGCTTTGGTTAAGCATTAGTTTCTTTATCCATAAAGCAAAGGGATTTCCGAAGTCACTTCCTTGTTCCAAAATATTTTATCAGTGTTAGCTGTTAAGTAACAGAATTGGATTCAGAAGGTTGTAAAACATAACAGGGTTGGTAGGGCCTGACCTCAATAGTGGATAGGGGTGGTTCCCAACATTCAGACCGAGCACAGCACTTCATGGGCCTAGGTACTGTTGGTATCACAAGTCCAAGGAAATGTTAGAGGTAGTAATTCAAATGTTCCAAAGTCTTTGGCCATAAAATGTCTAAAAATGAATGGGACACCTTTCAGGTCATGTGTGGTATGAAGATAACTGCCTCTTAGGCAAATGAATTGGAAAAGGGGTGTTAGTGATAAATGGAAGACATAGCCTGAATGGACAGATTTTGAACTGAGAACTGTTGTTTTTGGAAATGGAATTATGTGCTTTTTAAGTACCAGGGAAACTGGCATTACTAGCTAGGTACAAATAACACTAAGAGTTTTAAGAAAATTGCCTTCTTTCTGGGTCAGTATTAAATATCAGATATCTTCAAAGGGAATGGGTCGTTTTAGTTAAGAAGGATAATGAGAGAAGGAGTCTGCATAATTCCTTATGCACTTTGTTCTCATCCCTTGAACGAGAATGATTTTGCCCTCATCTTAATGCTATCTTTATGGAATGAAGAAATTTTCAAATTGGTTTTTAAACTCTATTAAGCCCTCATGTATGATATAACCCATCCACATTATTCAGGTTTTCTTGGCTTTCAGGAACAGCTTTGCAGCCATTATGTCATAATTGTACTGCACATTGTTGCATACCCTGAATTCAGAATATGCCTCTCTGGCTCCAGGCCAGACACCTGAGTCAGTGTCTTTGGGGCTGAGTATAAGGGGAAGGGCGTCATGTATACAAAACCTGTGTGTTAGCAGGTGTCAGTCCAGAATCTCCTTTAGACCCTTCGGTGCTAGAGGAGTGTATAGTAACTAACTGTACATTACTGTTCTTAATTAGTATCTTTATTTAATTTTTCTCAGTTAAATGTTTTTCTGGAAGCCCTTCCTTGGCATTGTAATGTGCCCCAATCCCATTACCGAGTAGACTCCTTTGAAGCAGTGATCTGGAAAGTGGGACTACCGAGGGCCAAAGAGTCTAAAACAAACTCTTCCTTACACTGAAGGTTCCTTTCCCCTCCCACTGCATACATGTCAGCGTGCTCTAGGCCTGGGCAAACACAGCGCTGCTTCTGGATGGGGAGGAGATGGACAAGATGATGAGGGTCTGTCATTAATAATCATTTTTTAAATAATATAACTAATGAAGGCATGATGCCAATACCTGACATTAGGAAGAGTTACTTCAGTGCCTAATTCAAAAGGAATTGTGATAAATAAAACATCTAAAAATCATGTTTAAGTGTGTCTAATAGTAAGAAATACTATTCTTATATTTTTCTTACATAATACATTACCCTTCCTTTCCAAAGAAACAGCTCAGTTTCAAAGCGAGTGCCTGGCCACTCTAATGTCACCTCCCCCATCTCCCTACTGTACCCTTTCTCATGCCAAGTCTTCCCAGTTATGACTGTGGAGCTAGAATCGCAAGTTTGTGATGAGCAAGCACCTTTACACTTCTGCCTGGGTCTGCACATGAATTTTGGACCTCGCTAAAAGGCCTAGCATCTTAAGACTACTTCAGATTCTTGCGAAGTCATGAGCTATTGCTATAGCATTTCCTCTGCTTGTGACTTCCCCGTCTCTGTTCTCTATATGAAAACATTCGATACTGAAAGCCGATGGGCACAGTTTCTCCAGGTCTCTGTTAAATAAAAGAACAGGACAAGCGAAGCTACTTGCATTTTACAGTAAAGATAAAACTGAGGCTTAAAGAGATGAGGAATTGCCCAGCCTCTCTGAACTACTTAGTGGCAGTTGCCTGTCTTTTGGGGTTTATCTTTATGAAATCCTTTCCAAGAAATGCACCCAAAGAATTTCAGACATGCTGAATTTCAGCTAAAATTCTATATGAAGTGTAACTTAAAAACTCTGAAGAAAATCATACGGTTTGTGCATTAATCCCCTGACTGGTGATTTATTTAACTTTAACATTTCTACCCTATTCTGCTTTATAATTTATACAAAATTTTTACATTTATTATCTCTTCTTCAGACAATCAACTTTTGCTTTCACTCCTCTCTCCCAGCCCACAGCCTCCATTCTCATCAGAAATACCTACTTTTAGTTAAGATGTTAAATTAAACAAGACCCAACAGGTATTTCATTTTAGGGATAGGCATCAGTTGGAAGATTTCTTTCCTTTGCAGCAACTTCAGACATATCTGATTTTCGGCAGATGCTTTCCTTATCCCTGTTCTAGTCCAAGCCTTCACCGCGCCCCTTTTGACAATGGGCCACTCCCTCATTTTAGAAACACTTTGGGCCCTTGCCTTCTGTCACGACACTTTCCTGGTTTTCATCCTGCCTCACCAGCCTGTATTCTGCCTCCTTGGCTGGCTCCTCTCCATCCAACTTCTAGATGTTGGACTTCCTCAGAGATCTGTTCTGGGCCCCTTTCTTTTTCTATATTATTTCACTGATCTCACCTAGTTCCCTACTTGTACATACGACTCCTGGACCAGTGGAGTCTCAAATTTTTCTCTTCAGCTCTGGCTTCTCTCCTGACTACCAAACCTGCATGTGCCACCCTCTACTTGTCCCTGAACTCAGCCCCATACATCTCTCAGTCTCTTACTGCCTCAGTTTCCTCATTTTAGCAAATGGCACTGCCACCTACAAGAAGCTTCAGGCCAAAACCGGGATTGTCCTTGTCATCACCTTGAGTTCCTCATATCCAGTTCATTGTCAAGTCCTGCTGGCCCCGTTTTTGCCCTAGTCCATACCTTTCTCACTCAGGCTGCTGCACTAGCTCCCTGAGTCCCTGCTTCCACACTTTTAATTTATGGATTTTTGAGAGAGGGGAAAGGAGAGAGAGAGAGAAACATCGCT